CCCGATGCTCGCAGTATCGTGGACTCTGTTATCCTGGAAGTTGAAATATTATCAAACCGGGCATTTCGCTGCATCATGCTTTTTTCAGCATTGATCGCCCAAGGGAGGATTATTTTTAGCCCATCGCCATCGCAGGATTCAAATGAAGATGAGATGGACACAATCTTCGACGTGTCTAACAACCTTGAAGATATGTCGGCGGGTATCAAGTCTACTCTCGATACGTTAGTGATTCTCCGGGAGCAACTGGACAATCCTAATCAACTGTTCAAACGCGAAAGTCATGTCAAGCTACCATAAGAAGACAAAGGTCTTGGTGCATTATACAAACATATTCAGGAACGGGCTTCATTACAACGGCCTTCTACAGATTTATAATCGACATCGTGATAGGGTAGCTGTGAGGGATTTTCTCAACGTTATTTTCGCGGCCTTTGGCAAGGAACTACAGCTCTTTCTAAGTAATGATTTTTGTGTTTTCAGGGTGCAGACTGTGTTAGGTTGGCAAACAGAACTTTACGACATAATGACCGTAAGTCAATAAATAATACATAGCGTCAATTGACGAAACAGGCGACTCGGCGCCTATCAACGAGCTATCTGCCTCTGAAGGGTCATCCAAAAGGTTCGTTTCATACGACTCGATGCTTCTGTCACTTGAAACCTGATACTGACGTGCGTTGTTTGCTTCCGAAGCTGTCTTCGAGCGCGCTTGGCGACAACATCATGCTTAGCCTTATCTTTCAGCGTGCCGTATTTTCGGGGCCGCCTGCGTTTCGTGGGCGTTCCTGGCATTGTGGATATGGTAGGTCGCGACTGATAAGATATGTTCTTGAACTGACTGCTGAATTCTGATTAGGTTAGTAAAGTGACCGCGAAAATCGAAAGGCGTCAGCGTCTGATCGCTAAATTCTGGTTGGACACAACATAATGCACTAAGACCTAAATTGGGTAGCCTGCTGACCGCGAAATTCGAAATGTCAATTTTAGCTAACCCGATGGCTTTGACAAGCGTCTCCAACACGGGATATAGAATGATATGGGGAATGTTCCGCCTGAAAAAGAAAGTGGTAATAAGCCTAGGAAACATGGATCTGTTCTGTAGTGCATTTTATTCTTCCATTTCTTGATTATGAACTATGGTCAAGGTTGTAAAGTTAACGTACTGGTAAGGAGCTACAACTGGATCATATGATCTGATCACTCAGCCAACATTTACTAAGCCACTTCTGTCAAATCCCCACATTACCAAAGCAGCTATCTCAATTCTTGTTTATCCTTAAACATATCAATCGATAGCAACATAAACCGCCCAAAATGCCACGAGAGTCAATGACAGTTCCTATCATCAGTCCAGCACTGGTCCTAAAACCTCCCGTTCGATCCTGGGACCTTATGGCAGACATGTCCAAAATCGTCTGGTTTCTCCACCCTGGCTATCCCGACGGCGACAACACACTCTTGACTCTTCCCTGTCTAGACTCTGGAGGCATTCATCATGAAACTGCACGCATAGCATGCGCCATCTACGCCAATTGTCGCTGGGATGGCTATCTCTCATCTAGTAAAGACGGTCCAGCCCTCTCTGCTCAGCCTGACGATGTTCTCCCTTTTGGTCAATACTACTTTATCATCAAAGACGAGCCGCAATATCCCGTTGTTCCATCATTTGAGCACTTTGTTTGTCCATCAGATCTACCTGATGCATATAGCCAAGCGTCCATCGCTCGCAGTAAAGGCGATGGTTGTGCCACGCGTGATGAAACGTGTCGAATCACGGCATCGTCTTTCACGTATGAGACAGCACATATCATTCCCGACTCTCAAAAAGGCTGGTGGAAGAGGAATAGGATGTCGCGGTACACAAGCGCGCCTGATAAGATTCACATCACTCGGTGTCCTGAAAACACCATCCTGATGCGTCGTGATCTCCACAAGTTATGGGATGATGGAGAAATCTGCATTGTGCCAAAGCGAAACAAGTGGGTAGTTCACGTACTCACGAATACACCAAAAATCGAACTCCGAGAAAAATACCACAATCTTGAGTTGCAGCCTTTATCCGGGATACAAAAGATATACCTCCTCTGCCGTTTTGCAATGGCCATGTTTTCCAAGAGTCATTTTCTCAGTGGAGGAAGCAAAAGAAAGTTAATATACCTGGAGGATCTGGAATCCGGTTCAAATATACATATGGCAAAAGAATTCACTAGCAAAGCCATCGATGAGAAGTTTGACAAAACCCCTGCGCGATCGGGGAGTAGGAATCCCAGTCCAAAGAGGCCCAGAGATAATATTGTAGATGAAGAGGTCTGTTGGGAAGAATCGGATTATTCCCAAGAGTACCACTCGGAACAGGACGAAGAGGAGGAAAGGAGGGGGCGTTCATTAAAAAGACGCTGGTCACCGGATACTTGGGACGAAATCTCACCGCCGAAATATCACAAGACAACAAATCCCGCAGAGGAGTATGGAGAATGTGTCTCCTAGTCGAAAACATTCACAGTCTTCATCGCCAAAGACAAAGACCGCTGAGCGCCATTTGACATTGACACCGGATAGTATAGAGTTCAGTAAGGATTTGACATAATTAGGAAAGAAAGGTTTAAAATAAATAGCGGATTAGAATTATTATTTTGTTCCTCATATCTTGCTTCTGCTGTATATATACACGTGACAACTATCTCAAACCGAATAGATGCTGAGGAGTGTGGTGTTTCCCTACTGAAGTATCAAAAAAAAAAAAACGGCCCCATCCACCTCTCCTTCACAGAGCATTGCGTCTCTCTTAGGCACTTTCCCTCTCTTCTCCATTACACCCTCCCCTCTCATCTCTATATTATCATAAGCCCCTGCCCCAGATCCGTGCCCCTTTATATATATGTGGCATTTTCTCTTTCCGTGTGTTCCTCCACGAATCTCCACCGAGACGTGGTCATCATCAGCTGATCTTCAATTGTTCTTAGTATCCACCGTGAACTGGTGCGGCCCTGACCTGCAAGTTGTACATCTACATTAGAACCTTATGCTTTCTGTTATTCCCCCTCTGCCTTCTTTTCATACGTACCTAATCATCACCTCCGCGTGAGACCTAGTGCAACATGGGAGGCTTCCCCTGCTATTGGTAAATTATGGCGCTTATATGATCCCACTATCTTGACCCTTACCTGCCTTTACCTGTACGGGAAACGCCAGCCAACAGCACTAGATTGACTCGCCTAACCTAGACCGCCCGGCCATACCTGCGACCATAAAGAGAAGGAGGGGCCATGCTTTAAGTGGGGCCATGTAGAACAATTAACAATTCAACCTCTCCATTTACGTCCTCTCTATTTCATTTCATTCGTAAACCAGGCTGTACAGCAATTCTTTCTTAGAGTTCATACTATATAACACGAATAGCATTTTATATACTACTTTCTAGTAACCAGACTACTCTCTCCTTCCTTCCTTCTTTCCCTTTTCCTGCCTAAATTAAGCATTATTCAATCGGTTTCTCGAGTTTTTCCTGGTGTATTCCGGCGTTAGTCACAATGGCTACTGGAGAGAATGATCCAAATTGCGACCCTATCTGGGGCGACTTTGTTGACTCGGATGACGAGTGCGAGGTCGAGGATGCATGCGAGCCGGTTGAGCGATACGAGGAGGGGCTCTATTATCCAGTCTGTATAGGAGAAGTCCTTGTTGACAGGTATCGTGTTGAGCATAAGCTGGGCCATGGCGGCTCCTCAACCGTCTGGATGGCGAATGACATGCTCAGCAACGACAACGTCGCTCTTAAGATTATGTCACCTGGGCCTTCCGGCGAGCGCGAGTATGCTGCGCAGAATATGATCGCCAGTGCCGTTCAGGACACATCTCGCCTCTTGATAAACCAGGATACATTTCTGCTACCTGGCGTATCTCAGATATACCATAGGGTTCTGGTCTTCCCTTTGCTGGGCCCCAGCCTGCGGACATATGCCTCTTCCATGTCTACTGCTGCTCGGCGGTCATCCGCCAAGCAACTACTACAAGCCATCAAGGCGCTGCATGATGGTCAAGTTATACATCGAGGTATGCTACCATGCAACTCTATTGCATTAATTATAGGATGCTAACTATGCAATGCAGATATTAACAGCGCCAATGTCTTATATGGACTTGCTCCTTTTGAGAATGACACCACTATAGCTACTAAATACAGTTATCTTGGGCGCCCCCGGAAAATGCCGATACCTACATACCGACCCATGTGGAAAGACGGCCAGCTGGTTATGCCTATGATCCCACACAATACTGTAGTACAGGAGACCATAACCCTCGCCGACTTTGGCCTGGCCGTCAAGTCTGGTACCTCCGTGGATTACAAAGGCCAGCCGCCCGCCATCTACTGCGCCCCAGAACGTATCCACAGTATAGATCCGAGCTTTGCTTCCGACATGTGGAGCTATATATGCATCTTTGCCGAGCTAACCCTCGGTTTTCCCCTATTCTACGGCTCAGCGGACTCTTCAGTCGTTGAATTTATGGTCAAAAGTCTGGGTCCTCTTCCTTCATCCTGGAAGGGCTCTTATGAAGGCGGCGGGCAGTATGACGAGTCATGGTACAGCCAGAATAGACAGCCAGATCCCCATCACACTCTGGAGGCAAAGATCAAGCGTGCACTATATGACACTAGTCCTGTCGAGCAACAGCTAGTGCTCTCTATACTGAAGAGGGGTCTATCATATTCGCCTGAGCATCGCTTCAGTGCTGGGCAACTTCTGGAAGATGTGTCCTTTAAGGAGCTAATGGCCATATATGGACTCTAGAACTATATAGCCATTACTTAAAGTTAGAGTATATGGTTATTAATACAGATTATTAGTCTTAAGACGGAATAAACTAAATCTTATTCTTCTTTTCTTTCTTTAGCTATAACTGAAGTAGACTTCGTTAGGGCTAAGGGCTGGTATGTAATTAGGATGCCCTGACCTGTAAGGGACCAGGTAGGGGCTCAAGCTTTGCCAGGAGAAAATTATAATAACTGGTTACATATAAACTAACCTGCCTTGCCTCTCTATAGTTAGCTGTCATGTAAGTTTTAGGTAAGTATAGGCAACTCTGCCTTGTCTACTTTGCACTGTTGGTCGCCATTTAGATGTTGGTTGCTAGTTCCGTAACCCCTGCTATGAACCTTCAGTAGGCTGACGTTCCCAAACTCTCGCTAGGGTTCAGCCAATAAAAGTGCTCCTTCAAAGCCTAGATCCACCACACATCTGAACCAACAACCTTTTGCAACCGCCCGCATACCTCTATCAGCCTAGCCTGGATATACTGGTCAGGGTAAAAGCAAAGTATGGCACCAACAGCTCAAGCCGGAGGTTACTTGCTTAGGCAGTTGAGAGCGAAGGATGAGGAGAAGGACCGATGACTTTGTTTCAATTCGAAAAGCAAGAGCCAACAGAACGCTGATACCCAATTGAACGCCTTGTCTCTGGGGCTGGGTTTACTAAAGACCGTCCTACTGGCCTGGCGAGGCATATCTGGTAGCCCGCTGACATGGCCCGTTTCTGTTTAGCGACTGGCCTTGGCAAACGAGGTCGCATTACTGCAATGTCAGGTGGATGGCATCATGTTGGATCGATCCCTTGTGTCCTGGCCTAATGCGTTGAGCAGGCCAACATTGTCACGTAACCGCCCGTCTGACATATGGGGAAAGCCTAGGGTCGTGATGCTAGAGTGCGTCTGAGGCAGGATCTATGACGCGGCGAGGCCAGTCCTTTGCCGCCGGCATCCCTTCGTGAGGGCTGAACGTTTCAAGTAGATGGAGCTCGAGTAAGTATAGAGTCGGGACTAGAAGCAACAGGAGCGTGGCTGTAAGGCTAAACGCTTTGATGATCCCCGTGCCATGACTGGATGAAGTCAGTACGCTTGGATGAAGGCATGTACTTCTATCTCGACCAACACAGAGGATCTGAAGCTAGACAGCGATATACTCGCGCGGTTACACATGGTCGCGATGGTGTTAAGCGCCTTTATCAAGAAGACAGTCCATTACTTCTAGCAGTATAGATAGCAGATTGAAGTACAGAACGTAAAAGTTATTTAAAGACTCCTAGCAACAAGAGAGACACTGCTTATATATCTATAAAGTTTAATCTGTTTACTACTCTTACGTAGCCACTAAAGAAAAACACCCTTATTCCTTGGTTATTATTAGTCAACTCACTACCATACACACCTCAACCCTGATATCTTCCTATATTGTTAATATCTATACCGTCTGTTCTTGCTCCGATGCGTAAGTCTAACCACTACATATAGGGTAGAGGATCGACTAACCCAGTAATTCTAGAGCTCCGGATTGTGGAATTACTGGTCATCTCTATCTTTCCTGTTGCAGGCCTGGTATTCTACAGTAAGTGCTTTACTTATTCACTACTTGTTATTATATATGCTAACTTAACACAGCACTCGTGGCTTCCTCCTCTGCCTCCTCCTGAGCTTCTCTCTCATCTAACGAACCGTCCTATCGCTGCTGCTCATCCATCTTGATCTGCTTCAACCGGGCCACTTCGGCTTGTCTCTCCACGTACGATTGATACACAACCATGGCACATGCAATCTTGATAACGGCGGAGTATATGGGCATGTAATCCAACACATCCATCCAACCACCATCCTTCCAGATACCCATCACCGCTAATCCGCTGATGATGGCGCTGCGATACTCCCCTGCTGCTAAACGGTGGTCTAATAATGCCATCACGACCTGCAACGTCAATCTGTCTACCCGATCCTCTTCAAGTAGTTACGCATCCGGATCATCGACATATACGTCGACAATTTCACTCAATTCATCGAGTAGCTCGCTCTGCCACTTCGATAATCAATACCCAGGCCTATCTTCGTCCGCCATATCCTCGGCACGGTATATATAGCGCGGTTTTGATTTGTATGTGTTTTCCATTGGATTCAGACCTGTATCCGCCTCGCAGCTAGGATAGGCATTGATCCCAACGATAAAGGCTAAAATATTAGTAGATATAGCTCAATTGAATAATAATAGTGCCTCGTACCAACTAAGCACTGTAATGTCTAGATCGTATTGTCTTTTATCGATTGACATACCGACACTAAGAACCAGTGTCATTGCGTTTAACTGAACAGTTGACTCACCAAGCCAATAGGGTGTCAAATAATTGAACGTACAGACTTCACTCTACCCAACTAGCTTCTACTAGTACTCTCTCGATCGACATTGTTAATCTAGACCTTCTTAGTCTCATTAGTGTGTGCATGAACCACCCTTACAGTAGAAGCTAGTTTTACAACACGGTAAACGCAAAGGGATAGATAAACCTAAAATATCGTATCCTATTCAACGCATCATACTGACATCATGACTTTGTCTACCCCGCCGCCCAACTTGTGAATATAATATTCCCCATCAATCTTTCCTCCTTGTTAATGTTGTTCTGCTCCTTTGTTGTCTTGAGAGACCTGCACCATTTAACACTTATGTTCGAAAATGCTGCCCATCCCAAATCAGTTTCGATGTTGCGACTGCGAGCGTGATTTCAATACAAAGGAAAGTCTTTCACAGCATCTTGAAGACAGCCCAGCACATCCACACAAGAAATTCCAAAGGAAGACAGGATGCAACATGTGCAGAAGGACCTTCCACTGCAAGGCTGCACTGGAACAGCACAAAAGCTCGATTCGACACCAGCCATTATGCCACATCAAATGTCTAGCAAGTAGTAAATGCAAGAAAACATTTGACTGCCCGTCGGCGCAGCTGCATCACTTGGAAAGTGGAACTTGTCCGTCAAGGATAGGAAAGACGCAGTTAAATGCCGCCATTATAAAGAACGACGTAAGAGGGATCATAACAAACCAAGGCTCAAGCATGCGGCTTTCGGAGGACGACGTGTCTGAGACTTCGACAACAAGCAGTCCACTGCTGACTCCTACGTCGACGGAATTCTTTGAATCCTATCCATCGCCAATGCGAAGTTCGAAGTCTGATATTATGGATATTTCAGATCTCACTGGAGTAATTAGCCCGCGGCTGGGTGTTGTAAGTGGGTTTACACGATGTCCCCTTTGCCCACCCAGACGTACCCGCACATACGGTCACCAAGCCCTCCAACAACACTTATCGTCAAGCGTTCACTCCAAGACGATCCTAACAGTGGTTCGGAGTATACCAAATGAGATATCGTTCTGTTGCCCACTGGCCCTGATGAAGGAAAGCAGTACAAGGAAACCCCCAAAGAACTTCTCGACCGTGAGCGGTTTAGCACAGCATATTGAGTGTGGCGCTTGTTATGGAGGTAAAGAAACATTGCGTCGGGCAGTCGAGTATCTCCAGAGTGAGATGAAGACTTTGAATCTGGGTGGGTTAAAATTGTTGAATTGAAGGATCAATTTCTAGCTGTCTATATTGTTTGTTCATCGGGCGATCGAAGGTCTTAAACTGATTCAAGTTTCTCGTCTGAATTGCTGTAACTTAAGCACAGAGGTGGATATATCGTTTGTTGGTAATAGCTCCAGGTACAAGACTGTGCTGGTCTCGATGCTCTTTTCTGTATCTTCCTTTGTTCCTATAAAGTGGCTTAATGATAACCGATATTGGCAATCATGCTTGGAATCACATGCAGAACATTACACTTATTCATTCGGAGTCATATCAGAATTAGTACCCTATTTAATCGACATGTATTTTATTAAGGTTACGAGCTACAAGTTCGAGATAATACCCTTTCTATCATTACCGCTTACTAGTGACTCCTTGATCCTCATCGACGAAGCCATGAGTTCGGCGCTGCCAAGTCGCCTATCTCTTCAATTACCTCTATCTCTTTCTTTCAGGCCTCTTTGAACTTTGCCTGAAAGGCTTGTGTGGCCACCCGAACGGCAAGCCTGGGGACTACCAGCCTGGCGCCTCATATTTATTATCGACGACCCACTTGAAAGATTTTAGCGATAAGAATCAATTCCTGAAAAAAAGCGATGAATAACCTTGAGGCTCTGCTACTGGGGGAGATTCTCGTGGATGCCAACAATAATTTTAACCAGCACCCAGTCAATATATTACGGAAACCGCCTGCAGCCCCGTTGCGGTGTCGTATCGTGAACATCTCGGTAGATCGAGCTTTATCGTGTTTAACTTTATCGTGTTAATTCACCCGAGTAACTAATGGCCAAATCAACTCTACTAGAGTTGATTTTATTAACCCACTTTAAACGTAGTAGGGTTGATTATTGCCAGGGATAGAGTTGATTTGGCTTTATTCCAGGAGGGGGGCCAGCACTTAGAACTTCCAGACCACAGCACGAAATTCCGGTCTCATATAGCTTAACTGGGTACTTATATGCCTGAGTAATTTGGGAATGCATTTTTCTCGTCTCACATCTACGTACTAATCGTTCTATTTCAACACAATAGTTTCCTTCTTGAGTTCCTGCTCCCAGATAGGGTCTTCGGGCTTAGGTATCAGTGCCCGGGTCATCCAACCTCTGCCCTTGTCCTTATAAACAGTTGGCTTTGGCTGATTGTCCTTTTCTTTATTGCCATATTTAAAGGCGTCCCGTGAGGTAATCAACCCAACTCGTTCGAAGTGGTCACCCTTTTCCCTTAAAACTAGTATGATAAGGTTGTGATCCTGCGATATGGTTCCAAACTCCAGCACGATGATTGGAAGCTTGAATTGATAAAGCCCGGCCAGCGCTTCATTATCGAGGTATAAGAACGAGTAGCATGTGATATCCGTTGTTATCGGAAGTATAGCCCAAGGGCCATCTTGAATCGTGGGCTCGTTGATGTCTCTATTGCGAAGGATTGACTCCGAACCCCATTTGATGAGTTCGAACGACAGTGTAGTCATCTTCCCTGTCATTTCAATGGCGGGTTTTATTTCTTGTGGGGGGTTCTCCTTGCACGCCGTCTTGTATTCGTCGAGTGTGATAGGACCTTCAGCTTCGGTGACTAATTTAACGTCATGGTCCGGATTCTCATAGCTGGTCATCTTGATCGCGCCTTTCCAACCAGTCCAAGACCAACTGGGAAAATCGGCCTTTCTAGTCCCAGGTTCGATATGGTACCAAGCATTGATCATACACCTTTTCTCTCCCTGAAATGGGTTTCCATGAAAGTGAAAATAATCCTTCTCTCTGCGGTAGACGTTGAGTATCCCTAGGAAGGCATTAAGAGAATCTTTATCATAAGTAAGGTCTCTCTTGCTAAACTCCATCAAATGACTCCCAAGATTATTATCGGCCAAAACAAGAGGCTCAAAATCCCTAAGCATGGGCTTCATCTTTAAATTTGGGGCTTTAATTTGATGCAGAATGCTCATGGGAATATCAAATGATTCGAGACAAGTCATATTATTACACTGGAATATGACTTGCTCATTAGTGAAAAAGATTCTTCTGTGCGATAGGATACCTTCCTGATACGTCCAACCACGAGAAGCCCAGCGACTGGACCGAATCTTTTCTGCGGGAGGCGTACCGAGGTAGGTGAGGTTTACACCATTGACTTGGGCGTATCGCTGCACTGGATCGGATTGTCGAGGGAGATTTACGCCAGCCAAACCAGAGGTACAGTCTACTCCAGCGGCATCGATTATCGTGAAACATGCTTGAGAATAGATCTCATCCATCCTTTGTATCTGTTCGCCCTTGTCAGGGTCTTTCGGATCTTGATTGATGCACTACATATTATTAACTCGTGTCATTTTGTGTCTATCAAACTTACATGTCGATCAACCCACAGGTAATCACAGTCAAGTTCTTGAACTACCTTGATACTGTCCATGACGACTTGGGGGAATTTCTTGCCATCATCAGGCCCGAGATTTTCTATATTCCCCCAGACGTATGACAATGCAGCGTATTTGCAATCCGCCGGTGCAGATATAAGTTTTAGATCTTCATGTTTCCTGCAGTCGATGACTTTAAAACTTTCAGGTAAAGTAAATTTGTCTGGCTTGCAACGTTCCGAGTGAGTGTTGTTGCAATAGTGCATCCAGTATTTGATCAACGAATAATTGATCTTCTCATGTTTGAAGCGCTGAGGTTCAGGGAAAGGAGATGATTGACGCAACGGTTCAACTGCTATGAGATGGCCCATGTGCCTTCGCCTCTCAGGCTTTCGCTCATTGGTTTCCGAGTGAATGAATAGCAGGTTCGTGTCTGGCCGCAGAGGGTATTTTTTGCGAGTTGTGAAAAGTGCAGTCAAAGTGACTGCTCGCAGAGAGCACGTTAAGTTATCTAAAGCTGCCGGTTTCAATAATGCGAACAACTGACAAACCTTACAGGAAGATGACTGCAACGCCTCGTGGGACCTATTGAATGCAACATTGAACTCATGCATTTGGCCACTACTGATTGTTGACGACCATGGGATAGCGCAACATCGTGGGCAAGGATGATTTGAGATTGATTTTGCTCTTACTCGAGTACTTGATTGTTCATTGCTGTCGCTAGAGCAAGACCTTTCTCGTTTCATTATTGTGCCTTAACGTCGCAGGTGATTAGGGGCTCCCCCTAATCTAGGGCCTAGGATACTCCTAAGAAAAAGAAATGATGATAGGAAAATTGAAGGTGCAAGAGGCAAGTTTGAAATTGCGGCCTAACGTAAGGAGGGGAAGGCACAGTTGAACCAATGATGTATCCAGGTTATAATGCAGTGATACCCAATGAATATCTACGTAGGATAAATTCCTCAAATTCCTGATAGGTTGAATAGCCCGTTGTGGAAGCGCTACCTAAATGTTAAGACCCAACACAGACTCACGTGAGGATGTGTACCCCACCTTTTCCTCCAATCAACTGTTATCTACCCTGTATTAGTTGAACGCACGCCATTCGACTTGCATAAACAACCACGAACAAAGTCGAACCGACCTCGTTCGACTCACATATCCCATAAGTATATATACACTCATTTAACAGTAGATAGAACTTAGCTCACCAGCTATCAATAAAACTTCTCTACATTGATCAAGCCTAACACGTATTGAATCTACCATTAAGAGACGTGACACTTCGACAACCCTCAGCATCACGCCCTACGCCATTTGCCAACAATAAACCTAGCACGGCTTAGGTTATCCACAGTTGGGAACCAGCCGTCACAGTAAAGGTATGGACAATTGTCAAATATAGTTTTAGTACATATATCAGATAACTTGATATATAATGTATGTATATATCCGGACATTTAATAGAGAACGTTTAATCTTATACCTGTTTCCTTCTACTACTTTAATTATAGGATATTTCTAACTGTTCGCTAGTAATAACGTTTTAGCCCGACCTCTATATAATAAATGATTTTAGACTGTAAGACTAAGAAAAGAAAAACAAAATCTATATACTATCCAAATATATAGAGCCTAATTCTAATTATAACCTATTATCTATTTGAAGACTTTAAATTATTTATTATTATTCTTAATACTTATTTTAATATAGCAATAGATACTACTTAACCCTAACTCTGAAATGCGTCTGTCGGTCGATCCTACATACCTGCACTCGTTACAGCCCTTATCATCATCCTTGGGCGGTGATATATATAGGATCCGTTCTATGGTTGGTGATGGCGGTTCCCACTGCTCTAACTCTGCCTGGTTCTTGACAGATTGCCTTGATAACTTCGCATATTTGGCTAAATTGAATAAGATATTGTACTTTATTGGCTGATCAAGGATAAATGGCAACCTATACCAGTTCAAACAAAGTAACCTACAGAAGAAAAACCATACTATTCTTCCTACATGGCTTGACATTAATAATTAATTGCTTGGCGCACCTGGAACCAACTGCTTCCAAGACGCGATTGGAAAAAACGCTGACACCACACTCCAGTTTTCCACATGATATTGTATTCCTGTTCTTTCATAACCCTTGTCTGTCGACCACGCTTACGACTATTAACCCAGCCATGATTACTTTGGCAATGACTTTGCATCTCTTTTAGCTGTCGCGTAACAAATAAGCAACCATTGCAAGCAAGTCCATCCTTCTTCGGAGGTTCAAGGAATGGTATTACCCCGGTGTTGGGACCTGGGGGTTGAAACTCCCTCAAGTCCTCTTGGTTCTTCAATATACCTGGAATGTTGAATATCTGGGACATTATCTCGCGTCGCTTATCGTTTGTGAAGCACCGTAAATGTGTGCGGTTACACAAGTGACTGCATATCTCTCCTGCTAGGACCGCGGTTCTACATTCTTTGCAAATTGCCAGGCTCCACTCTTCGAGATAGGCAAATGGCCCAATACTAAGAAAGTTTTGATCTGAACTAGTGTCTGATGGGTCCCGCGATCGTGTTGTAGAGGCCGAATAATCATCAACGGTTTGGTAGTCGTCGGTGTCCTCCATTACATGGGTATTGTAGTCTCATCGAGGGCTGCACTTCCAACGCTATAGCTATGGTTTTCCTGGGTATCCGGTCCGGCCTTTCTTTTTTTTTGCAAGTGTGCTGTTCCCGCCTGATTTATTCCAATATTGGGCCGTTTTCGACCAGAGAGCGGTTCGATATTCTCAGTGCCATAAACGTGGTCGTTGCTATCATTGCCATGACTAGAAACGTTTGGCGTAGTAGAGTTAAGATTTGGCTGTTCATCTATTCGTAAGAATGCCTGCCACTCAGCAGAGAGCTTGGCGTAGATCTTCAACAATGCTGGCTGTAGCTGGTCCGGAAACGCGCCGTCAAGACCATAAGTAGTGTGTCTCTGTAGAGGTCTATGGCCGCTTTGCCACACGAACGCTATATCTTCACCAGCAGTACTGGAAGTATCATCAGAGCGGTTGAAAGGTGCAGCCKGGCGCACATGCCGTTCCGTGATGGCTATAGATATCTGTCGATACAGTTGTGCTCCTATCTGGAATGATATTCCTGGCACTGATCTGCTTAGACGACGTAGCTCATCGGTGAATGTTTTTGTGGTCCAAGTTGCCTGTCTGTGAAGAGGAGTGAAGAGTAACACGCCGCGAGGAGTGGCATGAAAACACTTACGCAAGAGCGCATGGGCGGTGGGCTGAATGTAGACTAGATATTGATAAACCAGTCTAGAAACAGCTGGAGAGAAGAATCGTGCTACCTGGAACTCGTTGTTTGTAGTAAGACGGGCTTTGTGGCTTCTTGTAATGGCGCAAAGCTTCGCTCCATAGACGCAAATACCCCTCAGCCTCGAGGCCGTATTGTAGCATTCTAGCGTTAGTAGCTCAGAAATACGGCATGCGTGGCCCCAATCGAGCTGAAATAGAGCCGTGAGGCATCGTAGCAGATCGTCGTGTGCGCTGAGATATGCTCGTGCTGCTTTTACATCCCATGAGCTTTGATCCTTCCCTCGCTTCTGAAGCAAACCGTCGGCAGGAGAGATACAAGCCCTCATAAAGAGTTCTAAATAAGCATCTTCTAACTTGTTGGCCGGATCGGATACGAAAGAGTAGCCATTAGTTGTATTTGACAAGCGATCCCGAACTTCCGCAAGGTCCAGATAGTCAGGATCCCAGTCGTACATCAATCGCTTACAGTGGGCTGAAGCTTGCGACAGTGCCTCATGTGCAAGACTCCGGAACTGAGTCATCGTTAGGCAAGTCTGACCATCCCAAGAAAGCGTCTGACCATCTTCACTCCAGTAGAAGTGGTACACTGGTCCTTCAGATCGGCGCAAGGCACGACCATAATCCAGGAGACTGAAGAACTCTCCCATCGATGACATTGTCCCATCGCACATTTTTTCTCGACGAGCGGCGTTCAATATTTGTAGCTGGCCGTGCCGTGGACGAGATGCAATATTTACATAGGGATGCTCGAGCTGCGGCAGTATTGCCTCGATAAAAACTAGCCGTATGCAGTAAATCAGTCTTGATAAGATGGGCGTGAATCTATGCGGGCGGAGATATTGTTCCCCGTCTGGGTCAGAGAGTCCCCGAACGGCGCTGAAGAAGACGAGCATGGTGGAACTTGATCTTCCGTCCGCAAAATCTTCAGTTGTCATGTAGTAAGCGAGACGTAGGACAAGGTCGGCAGCAGGATCCGCTGCAGTAGTTGTATGTGGTGTCGGAGAATTTCTTGTGGATGAATAGCCGTCGGAGTAATCGAGGCTTTCCTCCCTAGACCATTCAGTACAGTCATCCTCGCTCCCTTGACCCTCATCTTCGTCTTGGTCTTCATCACTACTTTCGTCTGATACAGATTCGTCGCAAGGTAGAGATGCATCAGTCAATAACGTATCTTGATTTACACTCCAGGCAGGGTCCTCCCAAAGTCGCGTCAACTCTTGACGTTGGCTTCTCCTTAAGCTTTGGCCTAGGATAACCTTGACCGTCCTGGGTGGGAACTGGAGTAATCGAAGCCAGAAACACAAGCAGCGCTTCAACTCCTTCCGATATACACGCTCAGAGCTGGATTTGGAGACAAGTTCGAAGGGCGCTTTATACGGACGGTCGGGCAATCTACCCCGGAGCCATCTACGCACGCAGACATCAGTGCTTCGTATAGTATTGCCACATCGATCAAATAGACGATCAGTCGCACCCATAATCGACGCTAACCGCTGCTCAACTGCGACTGAGCTCAAAAGTGACTCCCCTGCGTGCATTTCGAGGCGAAGCGGCCGACCAGTCAATATGGGTAAATCTGACATGGCTACGAGGATATCGCGACGGGCGTTTTTGAGCAGGCGTTCCCACCCAGTACGGCGCATCCAATTAGTCATTAAGTTCGCCTCTGTAGTGTCTTGCACCAAATCTTTCCTACTCAGTCGTGACTCCAATCTTTCCTGTTCTTCGGAAAGGAGCTGCTGAGCAAAGTCTTTGATAGCATCTGGCGTCTCCTGTAGCAGAATATTGGCGTTCAACTGCCTTTCAGATGTCTGGGCACCTTCGATTTCGACGGTCCAAGACTTATGGACGCCCTGAGCCGTCCAACTCTGGAGGGTTAGCCCTGTCTTAATGTGGTCTCGTAACCAATGCCGTCCTGATTTTCTAGCAAGCTCTATTTCCGCTGGGTGCGTGTGTCTGAGGTGTGATTGAAGAACATCATGGCTGACTGATCGCAGACCGCAATGCCTGCAAGAGCTTGCACCCGTCAGACTTTTCAGGTAAGGATGAGGTGCGCTATCATCAGGTCGCGAGCGAAGACTCTTCGGGTCCGGGAGATTCAAGGAACGAATCAACTTATTCAATCCCCTGCGGGCTACTTTATCGACGTTGTGGATTTCCCCGAGATGTCGAGCTACGCGATCCTTATCTGCCGTTATAGCGTAGCCACATTGCTTACAGATAATAGCAGGCTCGGGCGAGTTAAGGTGTAAGCCAAGTCGATCAAGCTTGGCGAGTTTTTCTGACGAAAGTTGGCTGTAAAGCCTTGTGTAAGTAGAATACTCGTTCTCTGGCATCGTTCTTAACCACAGTTGATATAGAATCACTAGCTGGAAAGGAGAATGCAGATGAGCCAGAGGCCAATTCGCTTCTACAAGGGTGGCACGGGACACTGGGACGGAAAACGCGACGCGTTTTGAGTTGCAGCTAAACATCGATAGACAAAAACGCGCCCCGTTCTGAGCCCCCAAATGGGTGTAGAAATCTGAAGGCTCTGATTGGTCCAAAAGACGAAACGCGGCGCGTTTTGAGCAAGAATACTTGAGTAGGCGTCAACGTAGTCATAGCGCCAGTATCTCGAAGCATTGACTCATGGTAAAAGTTTTGGCCGGACTTGGGAATATTCCCGTCATAGAGCTGACTGAGGTGGTGACGGATGCAACAGCGCCGCCAGAGGTATGTCTGAGGTTCAGGTGATGGAACGTCATCAGGCATTGGGCAGGTCTCTTTACCCACATCAATGTACAGCCGGTCGCTGCGTATATGGGAGAAGTCTAGAATGCCGTGTAGTTTGTCTTCAAAGCTGTTCATGGCCGCCAGT